TAAAGTCGTCTTGATGCCAGCTCTGGGGTTCTGAGTGGGTCTCCGCAAGGGTAAAATGAATGAGAGAAGGAATTAGAAACATGCTTCTTCCTTCAGGAGGGAAACGGGGCAAGTCAGTGTTCAGGAGCCTTGTCAATTACTTTGCTTGGTCCAAGATCAAGGATCCGGGTCCAGAATCTGTTTGGGAAAGTCAGTCTCGAGAGGAACACCAGGGCAGATGAGCCACCTGGCTCTTGTCCTTCCTCCTGTGTTGCCGGACTCTTTGCATCTGGTTGTCTTGCCCTCCCCACCACCCCAAGAGATTTCCATCAGCTGCTTAGCTGGCTGGGGAAGGCTGGGTGGCACTGTGGCCGTGAGCACATCCAAGCTTGGCAGAAGGGCGTATACTTTCGAGAGACCAAGCCAGTGCTGGCTCTCAAGGTCACTGCTGAGCCAAGTGTGCAAACAAAGGCAGTGGAGCACTTCAGCGGTGACAGAGCTGGGAAGCCAGAGGGACAAGCTGGACCAGCCCTGGGTGAGGTTTTTCATAGCCATCCCGCAAACGGCCATGTTTTGTGTGGAATTGTGTCTGCCGAAAAGATGTTGAAGTCACAGTACTTGTGGATGTGATCTTATTTGGAAAAAGGTTCTTTGCAAATGATCCACTTCAGATGAGGTCATTAGGGTGGGCGCTAATCCCATGTGGCTCGTGTCCTAATAAAAAGGGGAAATTGGGATGTAGACACAGACACACATTCATATGAGGACTGGAGTTCTGCTACCCCAAGCCAAGGAACTACCAGAAGCTAGGAGGGAGACCTGGCACAGAGTTCCCCTAGCACCTTCAGCGGCCTGGTTCTATGTACACTCTGATCTTACTCAGAGCTACCAGAACTGCAAGAGAATCACTTTCTGTTGTTTAAACCACTCCGCTGCCGGTGCTTCATTGTGCCCCAGCGAACTGACACTGTGACCGGGTTCAAGGACGCACGCAGGTTCAAGGACGCGCAAGGAAGTGCCGCTCACATCACAGCATCCCCCCCCCCCGCCAGCATCCGTCGTGTCTCCTGGGAGCTCTGTTAGGAAAGCAAGTCCTCTCTGACCTGCCCAATCAGGGACCCTGGGGGTGCCCTCACCATCTGTGTTCTAACAAGCCTTCCAGGGCATTCTGCTCTACACAAAAATTTGAGAAGCATCGAGCTGGGGAAACCACAAAAGGGAGAGAAGTGGACGGGGGCAGGACAGGCGGCAAGAGCCAAGATGCGGCTCTAATGCAACACTTTGCCCAACCGATATTGGATCATATATATATTTTTTAGAGTCAGTTGAAACAGGAAATCATAAAATGATTACCTGCTACATTTTAATCGAAAAACACGTAAACATATATCATTTGTTCATCGGCCATAGTCGCGGCCGCCTCTCCGTGTGTGGGGTGGGGGGTGGAGGGGTGGACCTCATCCATCTATCGGTCCCCTTCCAGTTTCTCCAGCGCAACTCAAAAAGAATGCTGCGAGGCCATGAACGGAGCATGTTCTGGAGTTTTACAAATGTTTTCCCGACCCTTTCCAAGTTCAGGGAAATATTTTTTGTGATTCTCCTTCTGCATTTACACGGACTTGTCTTGTCTTTCACTTCATTAAAATGAAGTTAGTGGCTCTTGGAAAGCTGACATTCGATCACTCGCGCGGGGCTCGGTCACTGTAGGGATCAGCCAGCACAAGTTCTTCTTTCTTAAAAATAGCTTCAGGGAGCTGTCATTACATACCGTGGGGGTCGCCCATTTGCAGTTGCTGGTCAAGTCACCGAGGGCTCCAAGGAGCAATTTCAGAACATTTCGTCACCCCTGAGAGAAAGCCCTGCACCCTTGGCAGTCGAATCCCATTACCCTCTTGCCCTGGCAGCGGCTGCCGCTAACCTATGCTCTGCCTCTATAGCTTTGCCTGTTCTGGGCATCTCTATAAATGGAATCATACGGCGTGTGGCCCTCGGTCTTTGGCTTCCTTTGCTTAGCGTGATGTTTTCAAGATTCCTCCGGGTTGTAACGGGCCTTGGTGTGTCTTTCCTTTCTACGGGTGGGTAGGACTCTAGTCTAGTCCAGTGCTAGGTGGGTAGGACTCTAGTCTAGTACGGCTAGACTACCACTTATCTATTGGTTCGTCGGTTGATGAACATTTGGGTTATTTCTAAGCCAGCACATTTGACAGAAGGAAAGCGGTGGCTGGCTAGGAATCAGCCCAAGTGTAGGCCAAGTGAGTCTACTGATGTTCTTTCTGTGAAACCTTGTTCGAAGCAGGCTTTCGAACCACATTATTTTCCTTCGCTTGTGCATCCTCAGCCCCAAACATGGCACGACCCAGCCTGTGTGAATGTGAGGGAAGCAGGCCGCATGAACCCTAGCAATCTGGTGTGGAAGATCATCTGAGGAAGGTGAGTTTTCCAGATCTAAAGCGACTGTCCACATAACCCACCCGGCAAACGCCGAGAACCATCACACAACGAAGATTCTCTTCCGCCTTCCGCTGTCACGCTAGCCACCTGCTCCAGATTTGAAACCCTGGCATCAGAAAGGGGCCCCAGTGAAGGAAAAATACCGTAATGAAATGATGATTAAGTGTGGGATTTAAAAATCCATAGTGAGATAATCCTCCGGTGGGCAGCACAGTTTATTCTAAATGATTCATCGGATAAGGCTAAGCACGAGACTCTCTCCTAGGAACGGACAATGGAAGGGGATGGCAGGACACAGACCTGATGCTGAACTGGCCCAGTGAGCTTGCAGAGGCGGAAGCTTACTGTCCATGGTTGCGGGAGCCGCCCTCCTGCCCCACGTCACACCTAGTGGCCATCAACAAGCATTGTGAAGCTCCGGCAGCAGGTAGGAGCCGTCTGAGGATGCTGGAAGGAATCCACCCTCTCGGGACCAAGCTCACATCAGGCATGAAGGGAACAGCATGAGAGAGCTGGAATCGACCAGGCGTACACCCAACCTCGCACTGTAGTGAGGAGTCCCAGCAAGGGCTCTGAACTTGCACCCCCTGGACTACTGCAGGCTGTCTTTAAGTTGGAATTCCAGAACTTACCACCATTTCATTTACAGAGCATCCCTTGAAAGACCGAGTACCTCTCTGGTCAGGGCTGCCCCTTTCGCATTTCATATCCCCGGGACGCGGCAGAGGGCATAGCTCCCTAGACAACAGGGAACTGCTAGGAACGGTCCAGTTTAATACATGAGCCCAGTTCCAACCCCACCTTGTCCACCGATACCTGGCCTCATGACAGGAGTTTGTTCTGATTCTGAATGGGGCTAACGCCACAGAGAGAAGACTTAGCCTAAAATCCCGGACATCTGAAATGAATTCCAAGTTCTAAATGAGACTTCCTGTCAGAGCAGGGGAGTACTTACCCCCGGACATGAGCAAGCATGATCTGGCCCCCCAGGAGCTCCGAAACCCAGTAGGCTGTCTTCTCCAGGAGTGCTGGAAGGTGGAGCGACCGTTGACCTTGTCCTTGGCTTTGCTTGACAGTTTCCCGCGGGCCTGGTTCTTCTCAGGAACTAACTAGTCCGGCTCTTTAGAACCGCAGTGACCCGCCCATGGCTCAAGTTCCAGCTTCCAGTTACACCACTTTCCCATTATGATGCCCCATCCTATACTTATCCAGCAGCACTGAGCACCACCACCCCCGCCCCCCGCCAATATGGCAACAGTAATTCCTTTTCTCAGCCATTTGAACCATGATGAGAATGGCCGCCAGAAGGGAGACTACAGCCTGACTTCTGCAAAGATCATCTCTGTAGAAATGACTGCGACACGTAAAGTAACTCTTAAAGTCCAAACCTGTCAACTATCAGCTTTATTTTATTTTAAAATATACAAATATTTTGACATGTAGAAGAGCTTCAAGTTGTTGGATTTTGAAACCAGCACACAAAACTGACACAACAAAGAAATCGGTACCAACCGAATCACTCCAGACTGCCAGTTCCTTCTGCTAACCTAACGCTAGACTCCAAGGAAATCCAAATATTATTGACACTTAAGAAAAACCCCAACAGTCGTCGGGAACATGCTGCTGTAAGGAGAATAACCAGTTTATGAATCACTGGTAGAGAGAATTTCAACGGCAAACTTAGAGCTCTTTTAAAAAAGAAAATCTGCACCGAGAGAGCGAGTTGATACAAACACCGTGTATCTGGGAAAAATACTCTTCTTCTGAACCCTAACATTCAACAGAACGGAATCCCATTTTCGAGAGGGACCGTCCTGGTGCTGTGATGCACACCCAGCCTTCAAGGCTCCGGTGAGGCCAGTGGGGGCGGCAGGGGGGGGCGGGCTTCGGGCAGGAGGAGAAATGGGCTCACGCGTGGGGGAAACGGGTCAGGGGCCGTGGGCAATGAGACGCGCTTGCTGGGAGCTGCGGTTCGTAGCAGGATAGTGGGAATTAAAGTCCTTAAAAAGTGAAAACACAGATCTCAATGCACATGCATCCTCAAACCAAGGGGGAGTTGAACTATTCTAGAACAAAGTCCAGCCTGAGAAATTCTCACCGCTGAGAACTTGGAGCCAAGATGCGCCTCCATTTGCGGAGTCTGTTGCCGGCGGGTAGCTCTGCGTTTTCTTAAGGGCGCGCTACTCCTGCAGGGACAGCGAGACGCTGGTGACTTTTCCCAAAGCAGAACCACTTATCTGTGACGCACAGTGTTGGTGCGAACACCCGGCCGGCTGAGCTCCTCCGCAGAACACGGGCTTCCAGGTGTGCGTCTCACATACCCCAGAGAGACGGGAAGGGAAAAGCAACTCTCTTCACATGACAAACGTTCTCAGACGTTGTTCACTTTTCTAGATTAAATACACAGGCAATACCACGGCCGAAGGAGAAACCAAGGGACTGCTTCCCACTTAGGCCAAGTGGGAAGGAAGCCTGCAAGGACCCGCTAGAAACCGGGCAAACTAAAAACCAGAGAACACGGTGCGGGGCGGCCTCGCTCGCTTGCCGCCCCCCTTACATCACAAGAGCGATTCAGTTTGGGGAAATAGTTTAATGTATTGCTCGGAAAAAAATAGTTTCTATTTCCCCATCTCTGAAGAAGCAGCGGCTAGGACGTCCAGCGCCACCACGCGACCTTCATCCTGTCCCACACGGCCGACAGTGAGTCGAAGGCGGGCCGCACATCCAGGACGGTGAACTGGTAGTCCTGGTTGACCTCCCCGCCGTCGTAGTAGTCAATGACGTACCGCACTTCCGTCCCGCAGCGGTTGATGATCCAGTCGTGCCTGTCGAAAGGCAACTCGTACCTGAAATGAAACGTTTTCGAGTGTGAAATGCCTGTTCCCGGGCCCTGGACCCCCCCCGCTGGCCGGTGAGGCTCGGGGGGAAAACGGGGCCGCGGAACCGTGCGGAGCCCAGGTCAGGCGACGGCTCATCTGTCTGCAAAGGCAACGTGGTCAGTGGGGAAGAGCCCCAGGCCGGGGAGGTCACGGAGATGCTGCAGAGCTCCAAGTGCGAGCTGAGAACCGGCCTAGGTGGGAAGGAAAGGGGACCACTAAGTGCCCGGACGCGGAGAGACCACGGGAGGAGGGAAAGGGCAGTTCCAAGAACAAGGCAGGCAACTCAACTCAGGGCTACGACAATCAGACAGGAACGACGCACGACACCCAGAGAAGCCTGCCCACCGACGGCAAACTTGAGGGAGAGCAAGGACTCTCCGGCTGAGCGCCGGTTAACGTTCTGGAAGGTGGCCCCGCAGTCCTGAGACTGCTTGGCCTGGGTGTCACGAGTGGAGGACGGGCCGGGAACATTTCTGCAGCGCCACTCACCCCATCCAGGACCGAATTCTCGCCCTCGGTGAATACTCTTTCGCTTTACCTCCGAACCGGATCAATGATGGACCACAAGGACACTCCCTAGAAAGTCCCAAACAAGAAAAGCCTATTAAAATACTTCCTCTCCGTTGAGAAAGGTGGCACTGCCGTCTCTTAACAACACCGTTTTCTGCATGCATTTTACGTAATTTCATGTTGACAGAGTGAGGGAACTTTCTGGACAACTCAAAGAAATATCCCTATTCAGTAAAAATGCTGCTCTTTGCTCCTGGATCGAGTGCATTCCACCCCTCCCCGGCATTCCGAGCATCTGCGGTCTACCCAGGAGGCAGAAGTGCACTTCGCGTCTGCTGGGGGATAGAGGCGTATTCTCAGGGGAAAAAAAGAAAACAAATGTGAAGTACTGAGCATCACACCCTGCAGCTGGATGTTTTAAAACAAATAAATGAAAATCTTCTACTTTTTTTTCATTTGAAACCAATGAACAAGGCTTCATGAAGAAAAATGCTGCAAGAATCCCTAAGAACAAATGAAATTCGTGCCGCACCGGCTCTTTTAGTAAGTAAATACGGGACAGGGGCCGATCGCGTCAGCTGCTGTCACGGTTAGGACAGACTTCTGCGTTGCCCGGCCTAAGGACGTGGGCAGGAGAGAACAGGCCCGACGGTGCCTGAGCCCTACGTGAGGCCCATCGGAGTCACTTTGCTTCCTGCTTTATCAACGACTCACTAGCATCTCTTCTCAAGAGGGTCCCGGGAAGCTGCAGCAGGTGTCTTTAAAAGGCTGACCTAATTTTGAGGGACCCTGGAAAACGACTAGAAGGGGGGCTGAAAACTGTCAAAGTGGCATGTCCTCGTCTGTCTGCTCTGCTCTGTCCCGTTACAAGTGGTTGGCAGGGGCTGTCGCTCGGGCACACGTTCCCACCCTGGCAGCTCACATCACTAGCGAGCTAGAGGGAGGACAGATCGGAGTCGGGCTGCTCCCGCGTTACCGAGAAGGGAGTCCTGCTTGCTGCGGCATTCCCTCCTCACAAGGACCCCTTTTGGGCTTGGTGCCTGGCCACCGACACCCAGCAAGTGCTACTAATGAAACTCAGAGTCCAAGTGTTTAAAAAAAACAACAGGACATCTACACCAAATCGTTCCGTGGACTTTTGCCAAGAAGTTAACCACATTTTATCATAAATTTAGTTTTTTAAAGATTTTACTTATTTGACAGAGAAAGACACAGCAAAAGAGGGACTACATGCAGGGGGAGTGGGAGAGGGAAAAGCAGGCTTCCTGCCGAGCAGGGAACCTGATGCGGGGCTCAAACCCAAGACCCTGGGATCATGACCTGAGCTGAAGGCAGAGGCTTAACCCACCGAGTCACTGAGGTGGCCCTATTTTTATTTTTAAAGATTTTATTCATTTACTTGAGAGAGCAAGTACCACCAGGGGGAGGAGCCGAGGGAGAGGGAGCAGACTCCCTACTGAGCAGGGAGCCGGATGTGGGGCTCCATCCTGGGACTCCACCATCATGACCTGAGCCGAAGGCCGACGTTTAACCAACTGAGCTACCCAGGCGCCTCCTATCAGGAAGTTAAAATGTAATCCGCCTGTGATAATATAATCTGGCTATTTGTGCTGACATTCCCCACCCCTTCTCAAAGTGGCCTCCTCAAACCAGGAGCATCTATGTTGTTCTGGAAATGTCAAGTTTGGGCCTCAGCCCAGATCTACTGAATCAGAAACCCTGGGGTGGGGGCCCGGCACTCAGTGTTTCAGTAAACCCGGAGGCGAGGCCGACGCAGCTCAAGTGCAAGGACCACCGCTCGAACAGACTGACGGCCCATCGCTGCCGACACACTCTGCTGCATTCACCGAGGCCCTCCAAGAAGGCCCGCGGGCTAAGACTACTCTTGATGTTTAATCCTACTGGGGAGTCAGTACCGCTAAGGGAACAGAACTGGTTTTCTCCTCAGCCCTGGGGCGGAGAGCACTGTGCCATCTCCCATCCCACATGCGGCGCCTTCGATGCACCGCAGGATTCCTCCCACTGAGAGGTGCACTGCACGTCCACGGTCCCTCCCCTCGAACCTGGGCAGGCTTGCGGGACAGCTGAAGCCAGGTCATCAAGAGAGATGCAGCTTCCCTGGAGCTTTCTGGAATTCTAGCCCTGGCAACCCAGCCACCATGGTGTGAGGAAGCCGAAGCAGCCACAGTGAGAGGCTGGGGGAAGGCGTCCTGGCAGATAGCTGGCACCAATCAGCAGACGAGCGAACCGTCCAGCCTTCAGAGGATTCCAGCCCTCTGCTGCCAAGCCGTCCCTGATCAGAAGCTGGATGAGGCCCGAGCCACTGGAAGCAGAGACAAGCCATCCGTGCTCTGTACCTTCTGCACTTGGAACCCACCGAATCCACGAGCACGATGAAATGCTTGCCTCTCACATAGCTGCGTGGGAGCGGTCTACCCCACCAGTCACTGAAGCGGGCCTGCTGCCCAAAACGCTGTATGAGAGGGATGCCGGGGGCTCCGTCAGTTACGCCGCTGCCTTCGGCTCGGGTCATGATCAGGATCCTGGGATCGAGCCCCACATCGGGCTCCCTGCTCAGCGGGGAACCTGCTTCTCTCTCTGCCTCTGCCTGCCACTCTGCCTGCTCGTGTGCTCTGACAAATGAATAAAATCTTTTAAAAATAACTAACTAAATAAAATGTATTAGAGTAACGTTGTTTGAATAAAAGGTTTAAACTCTAGAAAGCAGAGATGAAGTAAGAAAGATGCTGGAAGGATGGTTTTTTTTAGAAGATCTCAAACACACTTACGCAGCATGAAGGGCTTCCCACTTCAAAATCTCCTTCCAAGCTTGCTCGTTATTCTGATTGTGAATTCTGATGATGTTATACATATCTTTCTGACTAATATCATCATCCTTCCACTTCCACCTAGGAAAGAATGTCTGGTAAAACCTAATAAAACCTTACTGAGAATGCCATAAAACCAACCCACATATTCATTTCACCAAGTGACCAAAAACCACTCACCCATGTATCAAGGAACCGTAAGATGACACTTTTTCAGTCAGTACCACTGATTAGTGATTGCTCAGCTTTTTCTAAGTATTTTATGTAACTGTATTTTTAAAAACGGCTACTGGCTATGATGGGTTAATCTTCTGTGTCAACTTGACTAGGCCGTAGAGGGGTAGGTATTTGGTCAAACGTTATTCTGGGTGTGTCTGAGGGTGTTGTGGACGAGAGTAACACTGAAACGGGGAAAACGGAGGGCTCTCCGAGGCGTGGGCGGCCTCATCTGATCAGCTGAAGCTCTAAACAAAACAGGAATGAACCTCCCGCGCGAGAGAACTCTGCCTGCCTGATTGCCTTCCAGCCGGGGCCCTGGTTTCTCCTGCCTCTGGATGGGAATGAAAACATCAGTTCCTCCTGGGTCGCCAGGTTGACTGCAGACCGTGGGACTTCTCAGCCTCCATAATTACGTGAGTCGATTCCTTAAAATAAATCTCTTTCTATGTATAAGGACACACACATCCTCTTAGTTGTGTTTCTCTGGAGAATCCCAGCTGATACACTGGCCTTGCATTTAAATTCTTTTAAGTCTGAAAAATCAGTTGAATATTATATACTGATGGGCGTTTGGGGATGAAAACGTCTTTAACATTTAATTCTTGGATGAATTTGATGAGCAAATTTATACCCTCGGTAAGACGCTCACTCACCCTTTCCGTAACATGGCATTCCAGAACATCTGTTCGGAAGGATACACCCAGTTTTTCTCCGAATCTGCTCTCGGAATGGACGACTCCTCTCTCACAGTAGACAGTGCAAACGGCTGATCGGGGGCTGGCATCTGATTGGGCGGTGGCATCTAAAGAAATTAAGCAGATTTTTTAAAATGTTGGAAACAGGACATAAAGTAGAAACAAACAATACTAATCAACGACTTTCTGGAAAGCAGTGCATCACACACAGGGTACAGGTCCCGATGACGCCAGTGACGGCAAAAGTTCAGCTCTCCCAGATAACCTGGCCGCTTTGAAGAGCCAGAGTTCCAAAGTTTCTCCTTCTTGTTGAAGTTCTCACAGATGGTAAATTCACACTGTGCTTAAGTTTTCTGTCTCTTTCTCCCCAAGGATTAAGAAGTAAAAACTAATACCGTGACTGCCGACGTTTCTGTAAACACTTCTACGATGAGCTTTTCAAAAATGACTGTTCACTCTTCTGAGGGAAAGCATCATAAAGTATAGGTGCGCCCCCACTTTCTTTTTAGATATTCTTTACCTTTTAGGCTCCGGCTGATGCTTTCAGTCTCTGGGCTGAATGCAAGACAGATGAGCAGCGACACCGCACCGGTGGACTGGAAGGGGGGCAAGAACCCTTCCTCCCAGACACCAGGGGCAGCAACACTGTTGTGCGAACACATTCCCTGGACCAGAGTTCTCACCCCAGGCCTTGACGCCATTTGGGGATGGACAACTTTCAGTGATGGGGGTGTGTTCTGAGCACTGTAGGATTTTCAGCAACCTCCCCGGTCGCTACCATATAGTATCCCTCCTCCCAGGCTGTGACAACCCATGTCCTCCCAGGGGCAAAATCATCCCTGGCTGAGAACCCCGGGTCTAGAGCTTCTTCTGTGTTTCCCGGTTGAAGATCTAGCAGATGCCTGTTTACTATTAAGTCACGCTATGGCCCCAGCTCGAATGGTGGCAGCGGGAGAACTGGGTATGCCAGGCGCCACAGCGAGCACGTGACCTGCATCGTCACCACAGGGGGCTGACGGACAGGTCAGAGGCAGCTGGGATTCAATGGGGGCCGCCGCTTCCCCGCTGAGCGATGTGGGGCGAACTGCACCCTCGCTCATTCTCGGTGGCTTCAGCTCTGAACATGGGGACATTAACACCCCTGGCTTCCGACGGGCATGAGGATAACTGGAGAGTGTGTGGAGCCCAGTGCAAGGGCTACAGATAACTCCAGAAGCAATGCTGGCTAGTATTCATTAATATTCTTGCTACAGGTAACAATCCCATGAGTAAGAGTCTAGGTCTGTGGGATTCCAAAAGGCCCATGTTCTGACCCACTAGGCTATGAGAGATTATCTAGAACAGTAGTCCTACGGTGGCACTTCCGGCAATGTCTGGAGACACATTAGGTGGTCGGGACTGAGGAAAGAGGGAATCATGGCATTTGCGGGTGACGACCACGGATGCTGCTAATATCCTGCAGAGCACAGGACAGTGCCCCACCTCACGGAACTGCCCAGCCTCGAATCTCAACAGTGCTAAAGGTGGGGAGACCCTGATCTCGTCCGTCAACACAACAGTTTCCTTATAGCTTGGCAAGGTCATTACTGACTGTTGCGGCTGAATGTTTGTGTCCCTCCAAATTTACTGAAACTGCCAACACCTTCCAATAGGACTTCTCGGCCTCTGGAACTTTGAGAATGGCATGTCTGTTGTTTACAAACCACCCAGCTGATGGTACTGTTGTATGTGTGTGTGCATGCATGTACATATATATATATAACATGTATGTATGTTGTCATACACAAACACAATCCCACCGCCCTTCTCTTCCAGACTAAGTATATCTGGTTCCTTCAAATGTTAGCCAAGGATTCTAAATACTTCACATAACCCTGGCCTTTTTTTTTTTTAAAGATTCTATTTATTTATTTGACAGAAAGAGACAGTGAGAGAGGGAATACAAGCATGGGGAGTGAGAGAGGGAGAAGTACACTTCCAGCTGAGCAGAGAGCCTGACGCGGGGCTCGATCCCAGGACCCTGGGATCATGAACTGAGCCAAAAGCAGACACTTAACGACTGAGCCACCCAGGCGCCCCAACTCTGGCCTTCAAAGAACCCTGTTCTGGCCTTCCAGGGTACAGATCTGAACATGTCTGTCTCTCCATTAAAATGGGTTCCCTACACTATCACAAAACATGCTGAGGTCATGCTTGTCTCGTCTTTGCTTTCTCAGTGGCATTCCACTGGTGGCCGCCACTTGACGCTGTGCCACAGCAGTGACTCTCACACAGGCTGGCACCTGGCTGTGCCAGCAAACAGAGCCCTAACCAGGCATCGTGCCTGTGAGGTTTCCCAGGACCAGAAATACCTTTACCCAGTGCAGCAGAACCCCTAACGGCACTTCCCTGCCTTCTATTATCCCTAAAGGAAAATCCCTTTGCGGTGGCTTCTTTCCAGTCAACCTATTCTGGCACTTCGTGATCAGTGTTTCCTTTACGAGGCACTCTCTGCAGCTACGATTAGTGATGCGTTCAGGAGTTTCAATGTGGACGGAATATCAGACTTCTTTATTTTAAAAGGAAAGAAGAATGAATCCTAGCAGTCGGCAGTCTGCCTTGGGAGGCCATAAAAACATCTCCGCAGAAAAAGTTCCGGAAGAGGGGCTAAGTGTGAATTACCAGATTAGAAGGATCTAGGTTCTCCTTATTCTTAGCCACAGCGCCCGTCACAGGACATTCCACATACTCGTACGCACGATCCTGGTGGGCAGGCACGGCGTTCGTTTTGTTCTCACAAGCAGGTTTAGATGGCTCTGCGCTCACTGGACAGCCTGAAATAAATCAAGTCAAAAACAGTGTCACCACAAAGGCAGGACATTTGGCGCTCTCAGTCCCGGCCCTGAAGAGCCGGCTTTCTGACCAGTGGTCACCGTCAAAGGCAAAGCCAGCTTCCTCCTGTTCCACGCTGCCGAGGGCTAAACCAGCTAACATTCTAATACCCTATAGACCAGGGGAAGATTCTATAAATTTACTTTCCCCTTGAAAGAGAAATGGGTACCCATTCCCTTATCATGTCATGCCTGTAGCAAAACTAAACCAAAACCAAACAAACAAAAAAACCCCAACATTTGCAAGAGAAATGTACTGTTCATTGCACGGTTTTAGCGATGGGCGAGAAGGTACCCGTGTGGGTCCCTGGCAGCGAGCTGTCACCGAACAGACTAAGCAGAGGCCCAGCCATGCTTTACTGGGTCTCCCTGACTTTCAATTCAGAGTCCAGACAAGGCCCGGCCTGACCAGGACACAGGACGCCGGGCTTACCAACACCCTCCCCCAGGAACTGGAGACGGGAGATGGAATTGAGCAGAGGAGCCTTCAAAAAGGCTCCCGGAGAGAAGTCTGGATGGCGCCCTGCTTGTGCTTTGCTCCAGGACAGAAACAAGGCACAGAAAACTACCCCTTGATTCCGTTCTATTCCCCATCAGTGAATAGCAAGCATTTAGCAAGGAAAGGCACATATTAAAGAAAATGGTCCATCGTCCATGTGGGACCCAGCTGCCACTTAAGAGGGAAGGTGTGAAGCTACAAGGGCCCAGCACGAGGGGCAGCTGACACCCAAGAATCCAGGGTGCTCCTGGAAGCAAGTGTGGGGACTGAGAAACAGGTCTTCCGCTATTGAGAAGGGGCAGGCACCGGGAGAGCCATGACCCAGAAGACAGCTGCCCAAGTAAGGGATCCTTGCGTTAGGCAGCAGCAGTGACACCAAGAATGTGCTAGATGCCCATACACACCAAAGACAAATTTCTATTCACTTCCATTCCTCCGTTCTTCCTCGCTGACCCTCATTCCCTAGGAACCTGTACGGCTATCTGCTTGAAGGGTGAAGGGACTTTTCCACCAGCTTTCCACTCCACCATTCAAAATGCCCATCTCTCCAGGACCACTGATCCCAGCTGGGTGTGAGAAAATACTGTTACATTTTCCATATAACCATGAGCCCCATTAGTCGCCTACAAATATCCATATTCTTTACTTTTGCAAACAAATCTGACTGACAGCACTTCTGGATACATAGTAAATGAAATCAAACCACATTCAGGGCTCTATGATCTATCCCGGGACACTCAGCACAGATACACAACCGCTCTGTCCAACTCTGTCTCCATTCTTCCTGTACAGAGGGAACCCTGGAAGAGCACTGGGTCTGTCCTTGTCCAAGGTCACAGTTTTTGCTGGCTTTGCCACTTACTAACCATGTGGTTTTAAGTTTCGTGAATATAAAATAGAAAACCTAACCAAACTGGAGGACGAGGATGAGAATGCGTACTCTACCAGGCAAAAGATTTCTGTGTTCTATGCACTGCTGTCTCTCGGTGCAGAAACAAAACCAGCCGGTGCTTGGCACAGAGTGGGCAGTGGGTAAATTCTTGCTGAATGACCAAGGGAATCAAAGACTACAACACAAGAAAGTGTTTTTCAGGTCATACTTTTATATAAAGCATCTAAAGCAAATGTGGACCAGTGAGGAATGAAAGACAGCTTTTCCATTCTCGCCTCTGCAGCTAAGGAAACAGCAGGAAGGCCATAAGCGATGACTTACTTTTACAAAGATGAATAATGCACCGGGTGTAAAGTTGCCTTAACAGATAAAGACAGATCTAGACCAAGGTTTTTCAACCTTGGCACTGCTAATATTTGGGGCCAGGAGATCTTTGTTGCAGAGGTACATTGTGCACTACAGGATGTTTACCAGAGCTCCTGGTTTCTACTTGCTGGATGCACCAGCTCCTCTCAGTTTTGACCAACAAAAATGTTTCCAGACATTTCCGAATGTCTGCCCCTGGGGGGGATGGGCGTGGCCACCCAGGTTGAGAACCTCTGATTGCAAACTTTAAGGGGTAAGGGCTAATGTATGAAGCCACCACTCCACTCTCGTGCACTGTTTTAATTATCACAACAGCCCTGTGAAATATTATTATATCCTCACCTTTCAGATGGCAGGTTATGACTTAGAAAAGTAACTTGTTTATAGTCACATACCTTGAAAGTAGCACCATAAGGACAGAACTCACTTTGCCCCACTAGCGTGCTGTGCTGCCTCTTCCTTAAAACCCTTTTGAGAATTCTTTTTTGTTTTTATTTGCTAGACAAAGGGTCAATTACCTTTCATTTTCCCTTCATGCATGGGACATCCGGAAGGCGGAGATGCTGTCTGATGATCTGAAGCATTTGAGGTCTGAACGGCAACAGCAGGGGTAGATGCAGACAAACCCATGGCTGGAACCAACGTGCTGAATCCAAATAATTCTAAACTCAATCGTGCCAAAGCAGAAAGACAGGTTAATGCTGATGCCTGGGCCCCGACAACTCCCTCGGTCTTCTTAATCTGTCCAACCCTCCTTAATCTACCCAACGGCCGTCTTTCCTCGTCATTCTGATGTAAATCTACAGGGCAGGGTATCCACTTCGAGAGACAGCTTTAATGTATTATAACCCCTTTGGGAACTATCAGTGTGAAATCTAAACCACACCATTCTTTAGAGTCACGTTTCTAAGATGCGCGGATTTTCCGGGTGAGGTGATGGGGTCCCCGAAAAACTATGTCACGAATAGAAAGTGTGGGTCTGGGGAACAGGGAGCCCTAAACGTGGTGACCCAGAGACTAAACCCTCAGACCCAGGCTTAGAAAAGAATTGGGAATCAGGGCAGGGTACCGCGCGAAAACGAATTCGAGGAAGGAAGGAAAGGACCTCCGAGGGGGAAACGCGGCCAAAGTTGTCTTCACACGGTCCCTCCGCGTCCCACCTGTTCCAGTCCCGGGACCCCGAAACCCACCGACCTCAGCCAGCCTCCTCCTCCGCACCTGACTCCTGTCCCGAACCGCTCCGAGGAGCCGGCTTCGCCTCTAACCGCCAAACCGTGGTCGCCTTCTCCTCTCTCGGTCACCGCTATCGTCGCGGTCACCGCCGGCGCCCTAGTGCACCGCTACTTCCTTTTCCGAAGGCGGGACTTCCGGGCGCACAGGAGGCGGGGCGTGGACTGAAAAGGAAGGGCTTCCGTCCAGCCCGAAGAAGTGGGCCCGCCCCCTCCCGCCTCGACCTATAAGTGCGAGTGCCGGTCCCTGGCCCCGCCCCTCCAAGCCAGCGCGGGCAGGGAGTGTTTGGGCTGAGCCCGAGACTTCCACAGAACGAGGCTGTCCACTCTGGCTCTTTTAAGCCATAGAAGGGTTGCTTTGGAGGTGTTAGTTTTAAAAGTCTTTATCTTTTAAGCTGTATCCCATCAGCTTTACTTATAGCAATGACTCAAGTACTATCAGTAGGTGTCCAGAACTGTGGCCCACTCTGGAGATCCCAAAATGAACAAATCAAGGATCCGGCTCCCAAGGCCTTCTTAACTGGGTGTGCGGACTTGAAGGTCTGTATTTTCACTTACCTCTAACAGAAATCTAGTATTTTTTCCACCAGGAATGCAGGCAACAAATCCTAGTAGTGTTAGCAATATGCAGTACTAATAGAAATCACAGAGAAATTGTCACAAATGATGGTTGTTTCTGTCTTAAGATAATTTTATCTTGTTAAGTGTTACTAAGAAGCATATGCCTTTCTGTATCTGTGATACCCTGTGATGGAACTGTGAAGCATGCCCAGATGGCCCTTTAGGACCTGCACGCCATCTCCAGGGTGCTGGGGGCTGTTAGCCGCTGACACCGCTGAGTCTCTCCCCAGGAATTGTCCTCTGCCAAAGAGAACTGCATCAGGCAAAATCAATCCCCTCCCTGAGCACAGGCTGCTGCCTCCAAATGGCCTCTGCAAGGGCGCATAACCCCCGGGCCCTCGACTCAAGGAGGTCACCTCAGAAGGGCCCTCCCAGTGTCAGTGGCTGAGACTTCCACGGTGACTGCATCACAGTTTGACTTCTCCCGTTGCCTAGACCTCCCGTCACTCTCATTGCTGTGTATGAGAGCACTGTGCTGCACATTTCTTGGAGTCTCAACCATTTTAATAAGTTTAATTATTAATTATTATTTAGATTTGGTGAGGTCAACGAATCAGGAAACAACTGCCATTGAATAAACAGTTGATTATACTCACAGATCCCAAGAGAGGGGTATACATCACACGGTGGGGTGCCACACGCAGGGGCCCTGGAGTCCATGAGCCAGCGGGCGAGGGGGAAGAAACAGGAGAGGCAGGCTCTGGGGCAGGTGCACAGCGTATAGTGGTTCAGAGTATGAGAGCCCAACATGGGAGGTGGTTGGCAAGTGCGGACTTAGCTGCTCAAAAAAGGGAACGGACCAGCCACTAGGCAGGGCCTTCAAACTGGATCAAGACAGCATTTTAAAATCTATGTTATATCAGTGTATATCTCCTGGGGAACCTGACCTTTAATGATCAAAATCTGTTCTTCTAAAATATGTGGATAATTTCTTTTCAATCTATTAATTTTTTTAGTGATTTCTTGTATTTTGTTTTATGCACGTAAAAATATTATTCTGAGAAGATACTCAGAGATTTCACCACAGTCCACAGGGGCACATGGCACAGAAAGGCCCCACACCCTCTGGTGATGGGAGAGACAGGCATGCAAACAAATAACCATATTTACATGCGAGAGTATGTACGTGCAGACTCTTGGAGGCAAAAGGGAAGACGTGATTGTTTCGAGGGTCATGTGCCAAAAGTGGATAGGAAGGAAGGAGGTAACAAGGGTGCTTTATAAAAGAGCTACCAAACAGGGTGTTAAAGGAGAGCTGGACATGGCTAGGGAGACTGGGAGGACACTTCACCCTCAATTCCCACTCTACCCAAAGACTTACTGCCCCTTAACTGTTTCTTCTACTTTTCCTTCATGTTCCAAACAACATGGTAACACAAACACATGTGTCCCTCTCCTGTGCCAATAGCTACACAGTTTTGGATACATCACAGTTTAGTATTCCTATTATTGTGACTGTGAAAATATTTGTTATGACCAAAGATGGATTTTTTTTTCAATAGAATTTAATACTTGCCTTTTCCCCCTTTGTCTAGATTTTTAGGTTATCCCTAAGCTTTCTGTCTGCATTGTAAGATTCCTCCCAATGCATTTAAATATGTCAACTACTGTGTATGTTCCCTTTTTTCCCTTGAGACCTCACTCAGATAAGCACCTCACTTCGGCCACTGCCTAATTCTAAACTGTTTGGAAGTGACTTATGCTCGTCATCTTCTAGGACTTCCTTTTGACCTTTTCCCATCTTGTGTTGGAGCTCTGGTTCTTGGATATCCTGTATCCTTCTTTGCATTGTTTCAGGAGCACATCAGTTTTCCAGGTCTTGAAAATCAGAAACTGTTTTTGATTTACCCTCCCATGTGATTGGTAGGTGGGATATATAATTCCAGGTTTAGAAACATTTCTCTCAGAATTGTTAAGTGGTTGCTTCATTGTCTTTTAGTTTCCATTGCAGATGTTGAAAAGTCAAGTGTTGTTTCTTTTTTTTCCCTCAACAATATTTTTAACTTCTCTTTCTTCTAGTAGCTTGGAAAGATGCCTGATACAGACCTCTTTGCTTTCATAGGCTGGGCACCTGATGGGACCATTCATTCTAGAAACCTGTAACCTTCCCATTGGGGATATTTTCTTGTATTATTAGTTTTCTTGGTAACTTGCTCTAGTCCCTCTTTCTCTTTTAAGGAACCTCTCTTCCTCAAATGTTGGATTTCTTGACTGACACTCTAATTTTCTTCTATTATTCTGTCACCTTTTCATCTTGTTTTATTTTTTCCGAGATTTTAAAAATTTCCCAACCATTTTATTAGTTTATTTCTGTGATCATGTTTGAAATTTCCAAGACATGTGTGCGTATATATTTGTATGTGTGTGTGTTTGTGTGTGTACATGCACACACACGTGTGTGTGTCAGTCTATGTGAGTATGTTTACGTATATGTCTATCTGCCTAGACAAGGCAGTGTGTGTGGGTTTGCGAATCTTTGGTAATGTGATATGAACTCTTGCTGTCAGACCCAAGGGTTTAGCAGAGAGGAAAATTTGAAGCTCTTTTGTAATTACAAACTGAATTTATGACTGGTCCTTGTAAAATAAGTCTCCTTTCCAAACCTTTGGTTACTTATGTTTATAAAGTGCTGCTTTTGTACTTCTTAGAGCTCCCACAATTCCATGTCTTGTGCCTGACTCTCCTTTCCCCCCCATAATTCCTTGTTTCTTTTATAATTCCCCATCTCTCCCCAATTCTCCACTCTCTTTCACAATTCTCTGCTTTCTCATAATATTCCTCCCTTTATAGTTCCCCGGTTTTCCCACAATTCCCCTTCCAACAATTCTCTGTCCTTTCCCAGAATTCCCCATGTCTCCCACCATTTTTTATGATCTCCCACAGTTCCCTGTCTCACACAATTCTCTGTTGTTTCCTGTGATTCTCTGTTTCTTCCATAACTCCCTGTCTTTCCCATAACTTTTGTGGTGGGTTTTAGAAATACTTTTTATTTTTTTATTTTTTTTAAAACATTTTATTTATTTGACAGAATACAAGTAGGCAGAGAGGCAGGCAGAGAGAGAGAGGAAGGGAAGCAGGCTCCCCAATGAGCAGAGAGCCCGATGTGGGGCTCGATCCCAGGACCCTGGGATCATGACCTGAGCTGAAGGCAGAGGCTTTAACCCACTGAGCCACCCAGGCGCCCCTAGAAATACTTTTTAAATTGAGTTTTGATTGACATATAATTGTTGATTAGTTTTAGGTGTACAACATAATGATTGGATATATGTAAATACTGCAAAATGATCACCCCAATAAGTCTAATTAACATCTGTCACCACACAGTTAATAATTTTTTTTCCTTCCAATGAGAACTTTTAAGATCTGCTGTCTTAGCAACTTCAGATGACTCAGACAGCATTGTTAACAATTGTTGCCATGTTGTGCTTTATATCCGCAGGACTTAATTTATTTTACAACTGGAAGTTTGTACCTTTTGACCACTTCCATCTATTTTACCCCATCTCCACCTCCAGCCTCTGACAACTACCAGTATGTTCTATCTATGAGTTTGGTTTTTTGTTGTTGTTGTTGTTGTTGTTTTGTTTTTAGATTCCACATGTAAGTGAGATCATACAGTGTCTTTCTCTGTCTGACTTATTTCGCTTAGCAAAATGCCCTCAAAGTCTGTCCATGTCACCAAGGACAGGATTGCCTTCTTTTATACGGCCAAATAATATTACATTGTGTGTTACCTTTTTTTATCCATTTGTCCATCAGTGGACATTTAGTTTACTTCCGTGTTTTGGCTATTGTCAATAATGGTGCAGAGAACACAGGGGTGCATGTGTCTTTTTGAGTTAGTCGTTTCCTTTGGATAATTACCCAGTGAAATTGCTGGATCATAGGGAAGTTCTATTTTTAAGTTTTTGGGGAATTTTTAAAAAGGATTTTACTTATTTATTTGATAGATCGAGAACACAGGTAGGCAGAGCAGCAGGCAGAGGTAGAGGGAGAGCAAGCTCTGTGCTGAGCAGGGACCCTGACGTGGGGCTCGATCCCATGGCCCTGGGATCAGGACCTGAGCCGAAGGCAGCCGCTTAACTGACTGAGCCACCCAGGCACCCCTGTTTTTAATTTTTTGAGGCACCCCCATAATTTTTCCATACTGGCTATGTCAATTTACATTCACACCAATAGTTCACAAGGTTTCCCTTTTCTCCATAGCCAACTTGCTATTTATTGTCTTTTTGAGAGTAGTCATTCCAACAACTGTCCAGTGAAATCTCAGTTGGGTTGATTTGCATTTCCCTGATGATTAATAATGTTCAGCACCGTTTTAAAAAAGATTTATTGATTGCTTTGAGAGAGAGAGTGAGAGTGTGCAAGTGCACCTGAGCAAGGAGAAGGGTAGAGGGAAAGGGCAAGTATCCTCTAGCAGGCTTCCCCCTGACGGCAGGGCCTAAATGTGGGGCTGGATCCCAGGACACCGAGACC